CCCTCTCTCTCTCTCTCTCTCTCTGTCTGTCTCTCTCTGTCTCTGTCTCTCTCTCTCTCTCTCTCTCTCAGCTGTACCGACATCCTAGTGAGCATGATCATGATTTTTTTTCTGCAAAAACTGCCGCCCTGAAAAGTCTCATTTAAAAATACTGTCCTTTCGTTAAGGATGATACTTTATGCTTATTGAATAGATCAAAGCAAGAATTGAAGCGTTATCCTCTGAGGGAGAAATGTAAATGAAGATCTGCCATTGTCGTCGTTGTTTTTCCCACTTCAGTTCTTTGAGTTCAATCGGAGATAGACATTTGGAAAGGGGTGTAGATATTAAACAGTAAACAAATAGATGCAATGTATAAGAAAGGTAATGGCTCAAAGCTTATCTCACAGAACGAGAAGTGCCACAGTCTCTATATCAACCGATTGTAGCAGTGGCCCTCAATCACAATCTGAACGTAAACCATTGAGTCTTGCCGGGTTTTTTTCGGGACGATTATCCCCTTGAACAAAGCTAAGTAAAACGATTCTATCGTATTTTGTGGTCAGATTGCGCGGACTTGATATAGGTATTGACCGAGGCAACTTTAAATTGTTCGTGTTTGGTTCGATGGGAAGCAGATGCTGGTGTGGGCGGTTGGCTTGTGCTCTGGTGTGGTTTGCTTCTTTCCTATCAATCCCCTAATGTCCTCATCTCTCCTCCTACTTTTCTTTGTATTTTACCCCCCTGAGTGGTAACACCTCTAATATTCGGCATATGACCTAGTTGTGTTGCAAGTGCCGTATATCTCTTACTTACTAAACTTCACTAAGCGGATACTGTTATTGGCTCCTGTCTCTGAACATTATACTGGCCACGTAGTACTGTAGCAGGTGATTGGAGAGTGCCACTGGTTGGTTCTACTTTTTTTCTCGCCCTCTGTTGCTCCAGCCTGTCTGTTTCCTCTTTACCTACTCTAAATAACCGCCATTGTGTTGATGTACTTTTATTTCTTCAAGCGACCTTACGTAGTATTGTAGGCAGCTAACATTTTAAAATTTAAGAGTTTACGATTGTGGTTGACGAAATTTACAAGTTTCCATGCCATCCCAGGTGCCGTTTAAGCCTTTATTGTAGTTGTTTTACGCCCACATTGATTTAATTTAGATCATTTAGAAGGGCATCCCCTCACACTGCCCCTCCCCCATACCAGGGCAGAGACTGAAGTGTCTTTAGGCCATTCCCAACGGTGGGGTATTAACATGTTACTATGCACAGTAGAATTGTAAATGGGCTGATTTATCAATGTTATGGTCATTTTGTTCCAGAACAATATTGGGGGGACTGCTGCTTTTATTTTCCTCATCCTTGCTATCGTCGTGTTTTCCTCTTATTTCTTTTGTATGTTTGTCACTCAAATGTGAACTGCTATTTCCGGGGTGCCTTGACAGCAGGGTTGGTGATTTTTTGGATTTTTTGGATAAAAATAAAAAAAATCGATTTTTAAAAATTTAAATCAGATTTTAAAAAATTTAAATCGGATTTTTTTTTTTTTTAAATGTCGACACAGTTTGGGATTTTTGGTGGCTAAAAGTATGTTCTTTTAGTGCAAAATGCATTGTCTTTATTTTAACTAATGATTAATTTAAGCAACTGCAATTTTAGAAAGCCTTAATCTGATAAATCAGTGAATTATGGCTACAGACAAAAAATGAAGAAAATGTCAGTCTAAAAGGTAAGGGGGGGGGGGGTAATTATGCATAGATAAACTTGCATTTTATTACAGTGTGTGTGTGTGAGCACGCGCTTGTGTTTGTCTAAAAAGAAAAAGAAAATGCTAATTTCAATTATGAAAAAAAAGTAAATTGAATACTGTATTATTTTACTACTTACAGTGACAGGGGGGGGGAAGCAGACTTTTAAGCAATTTTAGTCTACTAAACCTTATATCTGTTTTATAAAACCAAGGAAAGGAATTCTGAATGTTTAAAGATGTAAAAACAGAAAACATTTTTTTTAAGTGATTTAAATCACTGAGTTTTATTTTTAAAATCAATTTGATTTAAATAAAATAAAAAATCAACTGATTTAAATCGACACGATTTAAATCAACCCAACCCTGGTTTTCAATTATGAAAAAAAAGTACATTGAGAACTGTATTATTTTACAGTGACAAGGGGGAAAGCAGACTTTTAAGCATGATTATATTAGTCTACTAAACCTTATATCCGTTTAAAATAAAACCAAGGAAAGGAATTCTGAAAGTTTAAATATGTAAAAACTGAATACATTTTTTTGAAAAGTGATTTAATTCACTGATTTTTATTCTTAAAATCAAATTGATTACAATTTTTAAAAAATCAACTGATTTAAATCAACCCAGCTCTGATTTCAATTTATGGAAAAAAAGTAAATTGAATACTGTATTATTTTACAGTGAAAGGGGGGAAATCAGACTTTTAAGCATGATTATATTAGTCTACTGAACCTTATATCTGTTTTATGAAACAAAAGAAAGGAATTCTGAATGTTGAAATGTGTAAAAAGCGAATAAAAATAAATTTTAAAAAAAGTGATTTAAATCACTGATTTTTATTTAAAAAATCAAGTTGATTTAAATAAAAAAAATCAACTGATTTAAATCAACTTGATTTAAATCAACCCAACCCTGCTTGACAGTCGAAGCAGACTTTGTGCTGTTGAAGCTAGAGAGGTGAGCAGAGTAAGCCTGATTCCCTGTGAGGACTTTTCTGTTGACATTCACCCCTTGGCGCTCATATGACCCTATGCAGTTGCAAGCACGTAAAACCTTATTGAAACTAAACAACTAAAACCACCCTGCCCGCCTAGGCCAACCTGTGCTAAGAGAAATACAACATCCCTGTAGGATACTCGATAAAAATTCATCCCATTCGGTAATCGAACATTGTTTTCCTTTGTTTGACAGCGAAGTGCCTAACCGCTATACCACAGACGTTGGTCCGTCTAAGTCTATTCTAAGACAGAGAATTTTGTTTCTTTATTTAAAAAAAGGGGGGTGGGGGTGGACGAGCTGTCCTGTAAGGGCCAAAAGGTGCACTTCGATTTTTAAACATCCACGATTTGGGCGAGTATGCCGACGAACACTATCATAGCAGCTTTTGCCAAGCAATATAGAGAAACGTAGAAACTCGGTTTTGCATTTAGAAAGAAAAGCTCGTTTATTTTCATGGTACAATGATGCTGATGGAAAAAAGGTACTCGTACTTTGTATGTGTGTGCTGAGGGGGGGGGGGGGTAATAGTCATAGTTATCTATCACTCACCATTATTTTGATGTACAGATGTATCTTAGTTGGGCTAGTCCTATAGCATCCTCTTTTCAGCCCCCCCCCCCTTCCCCGTCTATTATTTTACTTCATTGAATGATGTGGCTTTTAGGGTCCTCTCAACACAGAAGACAGACAAATGTTTTTGACCAGATTTAACGTCCATTCTCGTTAGATCCCGTCTACGTGGAAGGAGAGGTATGCACATGAGTCTATCACTTCAAGTTTCTAATGACAGTTTGGGGATTCTAACCAAATGTGCCCACACAATGGCCCACTATCAGTCTTTGCTGACAGCGCAGTCATGTCATTTAATGTTAGCACACATGTTACGAGTATTGGATACAAAGCCACAACAAATCCCCCCCCCCCAAAAAAAAGAAGGAAAAAAAAGGAGAAATCCATGTTTAATACAGTAGATCTATGTTATGTAAATAACTGATTGTGCTCTGCACATGTCATTAAAAAAAACTTGTTTGAAATAATAACCTTGCTCGTTTTAATTATGTGTACGTATAATATAGCCGTATGGCTGTGATGGTTTTTATACTTGCTTGATATCTGGATGATTTTAATTTTGCTGTTGACATAAGATCGATGTGGTCAAGATTTATTCTGTCTACTTCGCGTAATCTGTTGCCTTTTGACCTTCCCAGCTGTGCCCCCGCAGACGTCCTGAACACAGTCGGACCTGACAAAGCTGGAGTGCTTAAGGTAAGCTTGTATGTCTAATATAGCGGTAAAAGTAAACTTGGGCCCCCATTCCCAACTTACTTGGACTAGCACTAGTACGCACAACAGGGTCTCCCTCCACTGTGTTAGCCACATTTGGGTTACCATGGCGTCATGCACAAAATAACTTTTTTAAGGAGTTGGGGCTCCAAATAAATGTTATCCATCGAAACTAGTTTTTCTGAAAGCGGGGTCGTGGGTGGTTACCGAATACTCTGGTGTCATTTGCTCCTTTATTCTACCGAGCATCATTTGTACTTGTCTCTCCTCTCTCTTTTACTTGTGTGTTTCTCTCTAATAGTAGATGGTTGGTGGGTGCTCTATTATAGTTTGCGCCTTTTTCCAATCAAACCTCTATTGTCCTTACCTCTCCTTTTTGTGCCTGTTACTATCTTGTAACACTTAACCTTTGGCGTTTATATGACCAACTACTATTCTTACTAAAACAAACTCTCTAATAACATCTCTTAAATATCTATGACATAACATGACATAATATCTGTTTTGCAAGTGCCACCACACTCTTACTAAAACTTTACTAAGCCCCGTTCGGAACGTAATCGAAATAGTACAAACATCAGGAGTCTCTTCCAGTCTCTCAACCAACCTTGAGTCACTGTGGTGTCACGTGCATTAGGTGTTTTCGAGAGTTGGGGCTCGCGGGTGATTGGAGGGTGCCACTGGTAGGTCCTACTTCTTTACTTTCCCTCTGTTGTTTCTGTCCGTCTGACTTACTTTTTCCTAGCACTGGACGATCATTATTGTGTGGATGTCCTTCTCTTTACTCAAACAAACAAAGTGGTAGCTCTATATTAATTTCAACAATTGCGCGTACTGTTATTTCTGGAAATTACCGGTTTTTTGCGTCTGCTTGTCTGTGTCTGACGTCGGTGCCTGATGTTATTGTTCTCACTTTATATCACTTTTATTAAGGATAAAGCAGCACCTGAACATAGATTATCAGTGCCTCAATAAAGAATTATTGTTTGATTGCTTCTTTTTTAAAAAAATTGCTTTTATGTAGCCGGCTGTTGGATTACTGGCTAGTCCTACTTCTTTCCTATATTTCATACTTGTGTCTGTCTCGTTATTTTGTGCTCTGCTCTTAATGATCGATGTTGTATTAATAATATGCTTCTTTAGACTCGATCTAAATTAAAATATAACCTAGATGAAGACATAATACTTGCTGCATGAAAACGGAAATCCTATTTTGGTCAAAGCTTCTTTCTTCACGATAGAACACTTCAAATGGGAATTTTTAGTTTTTTCTTATACATGGGCTGTACACTCAAGTGAACAGTTCAGTTCCGGGCACCTGAGATCCTTTCAAGCTGAAATACTAGTCTTTGGGGTCCCCCCCCCCCTCTTTACAAGATAGTTCTCCGGTCCTTGAGAAAGGGGAAAGGGAGGGGGGGGGGATGATACGGAAATTGGTTCCTTGGAAGTCACCTTCTATTTTTGTACCCTGTCCGATTTTTGTTGAAAACCACTGCTCCTTGAACTGTTTTACTGTGATTAAAATTGCCTGGGATCTTACCTGTTTGGCGGCCTGGTCATATTCAAATGATATTCTCCCAAACACACATTCTTACTCCCCACCGAATTCTTAGATTTCACACAATTGCCTTTTTTCAACGTGCTCTCATGTTTAGAGAAACCCATTTCTTAAATATTACTTTTTCAATATGTGATTTCTGGTGTCTTCTTCGTAAGAGTTCGCCATCCAACCAGAATATTATAATTTCGAATTTAACCGTACAGTGTATAATTGGTGTTGAACTCATACAGTTACCAATACTAATCAATAGGAATATGTAATTTCCGACATTAACCCTTAAGTCAAATATATATCTTTTATACCTCACAACTCCAAGATATCGAATAAGCGC